TCAGTAAAACAGAGGAATCACACGACATTTCTGCTGATCAAATGCAGCAAATTAATAACCACAACACTCCTCCCTCTCCCTAACACCTGCTGCCTTTTTCTGCCGCTGACTTCAAGCATTGTTCTTCTCTCACTCTGCAGCCTATTGTCCTGTGTGTACACCCCCCAAGTGCTCCAGCTGTCCCCTAATGCTCTTAGCACTCATGTTATGGGATGAGCGATCTAGAAATGATAATTAATCAACCAACTAAACATGCTCCCTTTCTGTGAGTGGCAGAGCCAACAGCTGGGTCAGCTCTGCCTCATTAACTCACTGCATGTTTCAGCAGTTTTGATTGCCAGGGCTCAAAAGGCTGCGTTGTTACTGGCTGGGTATTCTGTGTGCATTCCTGAAGGGATCACTGAATTTCACTGGCTACATCCATGTTCCAGGTGGCGCACTAAGATCAGCTACTTCATAGAAAGGAAGCTGTTTGTACCCAGTTACATTTATACCTAGTAACATTCAGAGGGTATGTCTACACTACAAAGTTAATTCGAACTAACAGCCGTTAGTTCGAATTAACTTTAATAGCAGCTATACATACAAACCGCTAGTTCGAATTTAAATTGAACTAGCGGAGCGCTTAATTCGAACTTGGTAAACCTCATTCTACGAGGACTAACGCCTGGTTCGAATTAAGTAGTTCGAATTAAGGGCTGTGTAGCCACTTAATTTGAACTAGCTGCAGGCTAGCCCTTCCTAGGTTCCCCTGATGGCCACTCTGGGCCAAACTCTTCTGCCCCCCTCCCAGCCCCGGAGCCCTTAAAGGGGCAGATTCTGGCCACAGTGCCTGTGCCAGTTGCCAGCCTGCCAGCACCCCACCAGCCAGCAGACCCTGCATCGAGCCAGCCACCCGCTGCCACCAGGCCTCCACCTCTTCCCAGGACCAGGCTGGCAGCTTTCAGGAGCCTGCCAGGGGCCGAAAAAGACGGGCGCCCACCTGGTCTAGTGTGAAGATCGTGGACCTCATTGAGGTTTGGGGGAAGGGATCCAATGCCCACAATCGCCGTGCTAGGCACAGGAATGCTGCCGTCTACAGCCACATGGCTGCCAGCCTAGCTACCAGAGGTCATATGTGCAGCCAGGATCAGGGGCGCTGCAAAATTAAAGACCTGCGGCAGGCCTATGCCAGGGGCTCCCAACCGTGGGCTGACCCAGACACCTGCCCTCATTACGAGGCCCTGGACCGCATCCTGGGGGCTCACACAGTCCGTGCCCCCCGGGTGGTGATCGACCTCTGGGCAGAGGGCCCAGCCCCTGAAACAGGGGAAGAGGAGGAGGACGACCGCCAGAAGCTGCAAGAGCCTGCAAGGGAACCTGTCCACCACCCCGAGTCATCCCACAGAGCCCTTCAGCTGTGTCATCTGAGGCCGGGGAGGGCTCCACATGTGAGTGCCATCATGGTCCCCTTATGTGGGGAGTGGGGGGAGAGAGATCCCAGGGACTGTGCACCTGGACCTTATCTACCCTGGAGCAGCAGCTGGATGTCACGCAGGGGCCCTGGCCTATTCCCCACACGCCGACCTCACCTTGCAGAGGGGGGCTGGGTTTCACCCACTGTGTCCCCAGGGAGAGCTGACCACTGCTCTTGTTTCACCACAGCTGCAGCACCTGCGAGTGCAGGGTGCACCGGCCTGCCTGGACCAGCCACCTGCACCCAGGCCAGCAGCCGCACCCGGAACCTGGAGGACCACCAGCGGCGGCACCTGTGGCTACTGGGGCAGCAGCTCCACAACCAGGAGCACTGGGTCCACGAGGACCTGCGGCTGCAGCAGCAGAGCTTGCAGGCGCTGAAGGAGCAGGGCTGTGCCCTCCGAGGCCACCTCCAGACCCTGGCGGACAGTTTCCTCCCTCCTCCTGTTCCAGCCCCTGCGGCTGCCCCAGCTCTCACTTCTCCTCCCACCCCTGCTCCCCTTCCTGCTTTCTCCACCCCCCGTCCCTCCTGCCCCACCCTCCACATTCACTTCCCCCCCGACACCCTCACACCTGCAGACCTGTGAGACGGGAGAGCCAGCAAGACCCCTAACCCTAAGCTTTCCCTTCCCTTCCTCCCCTTGCCTCCCCCTTCCAGCTCCCTCCTCTCAGGTTTCCCCCTCCCCTCTCCCACTCTCATTCCCCTCTCCCCCCACCTCAGTTCTGTGAAATAAACAGACATATCTGTTGGCAAAACAGGTGTTTTTATTTTACATTAGGAAGGAGGGTTAGGAAGGGGAAAGGAGAAGGAGATGAGGGTGGAAGAAGGCTCCAGTGGGGCATGCAGGGAGAGTTCAGTCCTCCTCCACCTGGAAGCTCTCCCGTAGGGCTTCCCGGATCCGGACAACCCCCCGCTGGGCCTCCCGGACAGTGTAGGTGCAGGGATGCAGGTACAGGCCATTCAAGTGTTCCACCTCAGCCATCCAGGCTGGCAGGAAAGCCTCTCCCTTCCTCTCACATAAATTGTGCAGCACACAACATGCTGCCACCATGGGAGGAATACTGTGCTCGGTGAGGTTGAGGTGGGTGAGGAGGCATCTGAAGCGGGACTTCAGGTGTTTGAAGGCCCCCTCCACCACAATGCGGGCCCTGGTGAGCCTGGCATTGAAGGCCTGCCAGGAGGGGTTGAGGTGCTCCATGTATGGCTTCATCAGCTTCATCAGCCAGGGCTGTAGGGCGTAGGCCACATCCCACACCAGGCACACGGGCATGTCCATGTCCTGATGTGACGGTCAGGGAATAAGGTCCCGGAGTGCAGCCCCTGGCACACAGAGGTGTTATGGAACACCCGTGTGTTGTGTGCCTTGCCAGACCAGCCCACACTGATGTCCATGAACTGGCCCCAGTGGTCAGACACAGCCTGCAGGATCACTGAGAAGTACCCCTTCCTGTTGATATACAGAGAGGCCTGGTGTTCCAGGGCACGGATGGGGATGTGTGTCCCGTCGATTGCTCCCCCGCAGTTGGGGAAGCTGAGGGCGCCGAACCCCTGGATGACTGCGTCCAGGTCAGTGAGGCAGACAACCCTGCGGAGCAGCACCCTGTTGATGGCCTTGACCACCTGCAGAGAGACACACAAAACTGAGAATCACTGGGGTGCCTGGGTAGCTGGGAATGTTCGTTCCCTGGCACTGCCCCGCGCCCCACTCCCAGAAGCAACTCCCACTGCAATCCTGGCCACCGCGGGTGGTGTGTAGTACGGCTGGGACAGACCAA